TGGGGCCGGGAAGTATGGTAAAACTTTTATATTGGCTTTTATATCCAAAGGTCTGCAGCCTTTGAGTAAAAATGAATGAATGAGTGAATGGGTGAATATCAAATAAGTACTGCTGCTATAGGTTTTAGTAGCTTAGGAATTTCTAGGTTTTCACTTACGTCAGTCACCCTCAGTGTCTTACAAAGGCTTGTATGTGTCTTCAATATTTGGATCTCTTTCTACAGCACATTTCAGCTTTTAAAATGTAAGCATTTTAGAAAGTGTGAAATTCTTGATGCAGCAATAATTATTAAAGACATTTTCCCACAATTTCAAATAAATTCAGGACTTTATCCTTGCTTAAACATAATTTCATTCCTGGGAGAAGGCTACTTTTAGCAATAGACAAATGCATTTTCCTCTTGGTATAAAAATGAAAATATTTTGCTAAAGTCTTACAAAGACTCTGAAATGGAACTGAGGATGTAGATGTAAAACACTTGCTTAGCAAGCACGAGACCCTGAGTTCAATCCTCAGCACCAAATCAATAAGTTAATAAATAAATAAAATATAGATTTAAAAAATACTCTACAATGGAGGCATAAAACTGAGGTAAATGATTACACCAGCGAATGCTCTCCTGAGCCGTTGTCAGAGCAAATCGCCCATTGTCAGCCTGTATTGAATGCACTGTTATGCGTGGAGGTAGAAATCAGTCTCCTTGGAAATGTAATCAGATATTTGATGTACTAAGAAATTATTGGCAATTAAATTTTTGTGTGACAATAGTATTGTGGTTGTTTCCTAAAAGAATCCTTATCTTTTAGATACACATAAAATATTCATGGATAAAATGATATTGTGTTGGGTTTGCTTCAGAAAATATCCCAGGGGGTGTAGTGAGAAGCACAGAGGAGTATAAATGAGGTTGGATGGGGAGTATGCAGAGTATCATTGTACTCTTTTCTTACTTCTTAAATCTTTCATAATAAAAGCTCAAGTAGTGCTACTGATGTAAATCTTTCATAATACAAGTTACACTGTTGAGTACTGTAATAAATCTTAATGCTACTGATGTCTGGTAACATTGGAAAACCAAAACTGAATCTTTAGGCATTTGAGAGATAATTCTGAAAGAATGATTAAAGAATGAAGAGTGAGGGAAGAGTTTATAACCACATTCTGATGACCTGATTCTGTGTTTTCAAACAATAGCAAATTATAACAACATTAACAATGATGACAGCAGCAGTGGCAGCAACATGTCATGGTGTCTTACGAGGTTCACACTGTCATGTTGTCATCCCTACTTAAAACATAAGTAAGCTGAGCTTGAATAACTTGGCTGTTGTATTAGAAAGCAGAGGAGGCAGACTTGAATCCAGAGAGTGTGACTCTCTCTTCCATTCACTCACTCAACTTGGTGAGTGGCTACCATGTCCCAGGAATAGTGAATGAGAGGGAAATTTCTTGCTTGAGAGGGTCTTCTATTCCAATAGGAGGTAACAGATGAGACACAAAATGTTTAATATATAATTGTATTTTGGAAAGAGCAAGATATTCTGGGAAGAAAAATAAAGTAAGGAAGAGGACAGGGAGTGACGGGTGGTTGGAAAAGCCTGATTAATATGGTGACATTTTAACAGAGACCTGAGGGAGGTGACGTATGGAATTTCAAGCAACAAAAACATTAAGTGTAAGGGTCTATGGCAGGGATTTGCTTGGTGGATTCAAGTTTAGGATAGAGGCCTGTATGACTGTGGCCAAGAGGACAGACAAGAGGGAGAACAGTAGAGACCAGACTAGGAAGGTGATGCTTTGAAGGCCATTTGGAATTGGAACTAAGGATCATGCAGGTAGCTGTGTTGATTGCAGGCTGTGAGCATTTAAGAAGAAAAATAGGAGACCCACTGGGGGATTTTAGACATAGAGGAGAAATGACAGTTTCCTCATCTCTGAGAGTCTCTCTGAGACAAATCAGAGAGACCGAAAGGATTTGGCTAGAGGATAAACACTGTTGAGTACTATAATAAATCTTAATTTTCTAAGTCTTTATTGTAAGCACCTTTTAATGCTTTTTGTGAATGAATAGAATTGTTGGAAGCTGGAGTGGGTCACTGGGCCTCTTTAATGACAACTGACAGATCCTCCTTTATGCCTGGCTGCCTTGAACTGGGGGCAGTCAGCTAAGTAGCCTCCTGTGGAGGCATGGCGGGAACAAAATACCAAGAGTCAGGCAGAATGAGGAAGGAGGCGCTGATCACAGGAGATGTTCCTGCCTGTGCAAAATTCAAACCAAGGTCTGAGAAGAGATAATCAGTAAGATCCACGAAAAGGAAGAGAGCAAATCAAAAGTGATCTAACCCCATTCTCAACCCTGTCTCATGGTGCTATGCTATGCTGTTTTGCACAGTTGACTACCATTCTTTTTCTTCTTTTTTTTTTAATTGTTTTTACATTTACTTACATGTGTATACATTGTTTGTAGTTGTCCACCATTCTATCTTCTTTCAATGGTGTCCTAATAAATCTTTGCTTTCTCCTATACTCAGTCTTAGTAAATTCTTTTACCAACCTGTGGCTCCCCAAATCTATGACACTGCCCTCAGTCTGGCTGTTTTGAACACTCCATCATCACTCTGAGGAAACTCCACTCCATCTGCAAGGACCATTGCAATCATTTGTTCCCTGAATGGATGACTCCAGCTTCAGGGGACCTTGCTCTAGTCACAACTACTCCAGGCAGCTTGCCTTGGCTATGGAACACTACACTGTGGGCAACACAAGCCCCAGTGAACTTTAGATGACTTGCTTACCCTGGTGAGCAGAACAGGAGGAAGAACATCTCCCCAGAACAGGAAGAAGAACACCTCCCTGATGACTTAGCAAAAAGCCTGTGATTGGTACAATGCGAGGCCTATGATTGGTGGAACTAGAAATTTCACCCATTCAAGGTTGTGTTGGTAGAATTAGAATCTGAGCACAAGCATACCATGCTCCTTTTGTAGATATGTCAACAAGCTGTTTCTCAGTCTTGGGTTTGTTGGGGAGGCTTCTCCTGTAAACTTTTTCCCCAGTGTTGCAGCAGTAGGCCAATAAAGGATTCTCCTTTATGGTCTTTTATTGGCTACTTATGGTCTTTTATTGGCTACTTATGGTCTTTATCATGGGTAGAGTGGGTTGAATTGGTAACACTACGTGCAGACAAAATTCCAGGTTTCCAGCTCCAGACAACCACTAGCAGCAGCTAGTAGGTGACTAGAAAGTGACTCCTGAGGCTCTAAGGCCTTAGCACTCTCAGAAGCTAGGACGCAGCTAAACAGTTCCAAGCCAGGAGGACAGACTATGGAGAACGTGGAAAACTGTGGAAGGGCTAAGAAGGGGAGGTGGTGAGAGCTCAGACTGCTGAAAGCGAGAATATATGAAGAGCCAAGACTCCAGAAAGCAAGAGACTGCAAAGAGCCAAGTGGAGGGATGCAGACCCTTGTGACTGGAAGAGTACCAGAGATGCTGGTTAGGGGCTTTTGGGTCTGATATCCATCAGCTGTCCAAACTCTGGGGCTGCAACATTAGGTGTCGTGTGCAGGGCTGCTTGCACCAACCTGAGCACCTAGCGCTCTAAGACTAGCTTCGAATGCTAGGAAACTTAAGCCTCCAGTTCTCAGGACCTAGAGTTATAGCCTCTGCTGTGTGAAGGCCTCGTCCATGAGCCTCTGGCTGTTCAGGAACTCAGGGCCACCAACACTGAAAAAGCTACCCCTGATAATTTGTGATTTTATCTGAATAGAGCAAAACCACCCCCAGCAGCCATTTGTGACATTTAAAGGTACTAGACATGAACATGCTTTGCAAACTGAGACACTACACAAAAACCATGTGTTAACATTTTACAGTGTCTCTGGAGCTCATGGCAGTCAGGCTCTGGGACCTCCTGGGACCTTGCTGTTGCCTGTGCAAGCCCATTTCCTGCTGGGTCCTGGAGGAGGAGAAGAGGAGGAGAAGGTGGAGGAGGAGGAGGAGGAGGAGGAGGAGGAGGGGAAAGAGGAGGGACCATGTTGTGGATTTCCCCATAGCTGGGGTTCTGGACTCTGAAGTGTCTCCCTTAACCTCTAGAACTCTCAAAGCTCCTGCACTGTGTCCTAAGACTTCACAGGCAAGGAGGGAAGAGGGCTGTGGGTGACACTGAGCTCTGGGACACCAGGAGCTCTATGCTAGGAAGGAAGTGGGAAGGCAGTGTTGGCACCTTTCTTAGGTACAATGCCTAGGGTCCAGTATGCTTTTAGGAACACATGAAAATGTTTTAATCTCTCCTGAAGTCATATATATATATATATATATATATATATATATATACACACACACACACACACACATATATATGTATCACCAGCACAGTTATATAACATTTATTCTCTTTGGGGTGAAGAGGCCCACTGAGGCAGGAGTGTCTAATGCCCAGGAAAAATAAAATGTAGCCCTGTGGGGAGACAGATGCACATTCACATGTAGTTCCATGGGCCAGCTCCTTCTGATTGTTTATTGGTTGGTACTGGCCCTCCTTCCATTAATCCAGAAATAACATCTCTCAGATAAGAGATACTCAGTGGAGCTTGGTCATCTCCTCCTCCTCCACACAGTAAACCTGACCAGTACTACCATAGCTTCTCTCCATGGGCTAGGATTAATATATCTATTTATCTCAGAGAATTGGAATTCCCAGTTTGAGAACTGATATACATTTCTTTGCTGGTGTATTGAGTAATTGTTTATCCTAATTCATTTACTAAGAAGCCTGTGGAAGCCAGGCTTGGTGACTCAAGTCTGTTATCCTAAACTACATAGCAAGCTGAGATTTGGAGGATCTTAGTTCCTGGCCAGTCTGGGCAAAAAGTTCGTGAGACCTCATTTCAAAGAAAAAAGTTGGGTGTGGTAGTGCACACCTGACATCCCAGCTATGTCAAGAAATGTAAAATAGGAGGATTGCTGAGCAGGCTAGTACAGGCAAAAAGCAAGACCCTATCTAGAGAAAAAGGGGTCTGGAGGCATAGCTCAAGCAGTAGAGCATCTGCCTAGCAAGCATGAAGTCCTGTTACCCCAGTACCTAAAAAAAAAGTTTTTGGAAGATCACCTGAAATCAAACTAATATGGCCTTTGGTAAGTTCTGGAAAGGTTCAACAATGTAGACCAAGTTGTTATCAATGGGTTTCAAACCATGACACTAAAGAGTCCCTGCAACACAGTTTCTCTCCAGAGACTCTTCAGGGGTCACATCAGGAAGTGTGTAAGATGATATCCCAATCCTCCTCCCCCTTTCTATATATAGCAGTTCCAGTGCACTTGTGGGGACCACACAAGTTTTATTTGAACAATAGATTCTATGGTTAAATAAAACTTACAAATCATTATCTGCAACTGGAAGTTGTAATTCTTTTCCCTATATTACTGACACCGATATACCTTCAAATAAAATGTGTAAGCAAATGATGGGAAATCATAATTTGTATCATAAGGATTAGATTTTTAAATGTGATTTTTTACTCTGTTTACCCTGCCAGCTGAATATTGACAGTGTTACTGTTAGAAAAATTCTATACTAAGATGTGTTCTGAGAGCTCAACTCTCTTGGAATCATAAATTCCACTCTGACATTGAGGTAAATGAGCTTATGAAGTTTTTCAATTGACAAGAGGGAGGGAAAAGGGTGTTACAAGCTTAACTCCTAAGGGAGATAAGTTTTAAGAAATAGATTGTTGGCTCTATCTAGTTGACTCCTGACACATTCTGAATTACCCATAAAGGCAAATCCACTAACTTGTAAATTGGGGAATGAGAGAGAATTGGAGTGTGAGCACCTGGTGTGACAGCACCTGGAATAAGGGAAACTTTTTCCATGAAAAAAAAAATCCTTCCTGAGGTGGGTTTCTAACAGTGTATATTTCCTCTTTGTAATCTTGGTCATTAATCATCAAGAAGTGTTTATGAGCACCTGAGTGAATCATGTAATCCACAATATATCCTGCAAATCCAGCCTTTGGGTTGCCTCTTACTCCAAGAATTGAAATCCACCTTGGGAGTCTGTTCTGGATTTGGCACCTCTGCTCCTAGCAAAACTTGAATCCTGGCATAGGGTTTCAGTGTCTTCTCTTGTCTCAACTGTCCACAACTCCAGTCTCTCTCAACCTTGACCCTCTGGACATTTCCAAGGAAAATAGAGCTTTCTTACGAGGGGTTGGCTTTGCATGCTGAGATGTTTGCACCTCCCTGGCACTTTCCTCATTGCCAGTCATGACAACCATAAATGTCTCAGACATTGCCAAATGCTCCTCTGGGAATGGGGAGAGGGAAGAGCAAAGTTTCCCCTTATGGAGAACCATGCTCTAATCTGTGGGGATCCCAAGACTGAGATTATTACCAGCAATTCTGTGGCTACCACTAAGTTGGCTTTCAAAGAAACCTAAGACCCATATGATTTAACCAAGTCAATGTTCTCAATCCCGCATGTTAGAACCAAATGAAGGACTAACCAGGCATTAGTATTTCCTAAAAGCTCCCATGGATTTGCAATTCATGGACAGGATAAATAACTTCTAATCATAAATTCCACCTCTGACATTGAGGTAAATGAGCTTATGAAGTTTTTCAATTGACAAGAGGGAGGGAAAAGGGTGTTACAAGCTTAACACTAAGTGTTAAGTGTTAAGATTAAGTGTTTAGCAGTTAATTTTACAAATCCCATAAAAATAAACAAACAACTCCCAAATTTTATTTCAAACAGAATATCCAGGTGCTTTCACAGCAAGAATAAAACTCCATATGTCCATGGGTTATAAGATGTAGGTCACCAAAGGCGTTTCCCACTTTGTTTTTGTTGTTCTGTTATTGTCACAAAGCAGTTGGGAAACTGGGTGCCTCCTCTAATCCTGGGCTTTCAGCAGCTGGGCTGAAGGTATATTCCTTGATACACAGCAATTCTTTCTGTGCTTGTCACTCACAGAGATCCTCTGGCTGAAAGTAACATCAATTAGAGAACTTCACAGGGAAGAAGGTGAGGAAGAACTTTCTTGATGCAATGTTTAGGGTTGGCAGGGGAGGAAGATCAAGACTTAGCAAGAACAATCGTGGCTTTGGAAGGGAGGCCTTCTGATGTTTTTCAGCAGAGGTAAGCTACGATCAAACTGCTACTTCTTTCCTTCACTTGTATTTCAGTAACAGTGGGAATAAAAACAGATGACATTATGTTCACAAGGTCTATATGTTCTGGAAGCTGCCGATATCACTTCTTTAGGCCAACCAGGGAGGAGGAAGGGTTGGCAAATATTGTAAGTCAGTTATTAATCTAGCTCTTTTCTTTTTTTCTTCCTCCCCTTCTTCCTTTTCTCCCTCCTTCCATCCTTCCCTTCCTCTTTCTCTCCCCCCTCCACTTTTTTTTTTTAACAGAGTCTTGCTATGTAGCCCAGCCTTAGCCTCAGCCTCAGCCTCTGTCTCCTGAATATTGGAATTACAAGTGCGGATCACCACACCTGATCAGTTATTGATCTTACAAAAGATGGAGAATTGCATTAGACATGTTCAATTTCCCATGAAATAATAGACAACTTTCATAACCTGCCTGAGATTGTGTTTATCTGAAAAACTGGTCATCATTGTATTTACCTCAGGTCGTCCTGTCAGGATTAAATTAAATAACGTCTGTGAAAATGTTTTGTGAATCGTAAAGCCCAGTAAGATAATACTATCTTTCCAGGGACTTTCCACCTTGAATAGTCTGGTAGACCAGGCTCCAGTGGCTTTCAGGTTTGGCTTCTGTGGCATGTGTAGAATGACAGATGAGTGTGATCATCGACTTCACTTGTCAAGTGTCTGTCCTTAAGTGGGCAAATAGGAAAATACATTTCAGCTAAAAAGACAGTGATGTATTTTTCATGACTGAGATTACAATCTTTTTTTAGGTTATTATATACTGAAGACCAGGAAATTAATTGGTACCCTCTAAAACGCAGAAGAGCAAGAGATTAATCTGATAAATGGTTTCCATTAAAAAATTCCATTTGGTTTCCCAAATTTATCTTGTGTCCTGAGGTTTCTAAATCCTCCAGTGTCCTTTGCCTGTGCTTTCCACCTGCACTCATTGCTTCCTACATCCCCTGGTTTGGAGAATATCAGTATTTATGCAAAGACGGTAGCAAAGTTTAGCTAGAGAGTTAACCCTTTCATTCCCTGTCTTTTGGTTTAGGCTTTGGTTGATATTCAGAATATAAGATTTGTAGATATTGAGGATAAGGCTTTTGATGACACTATTTCATGTAGTAGGCAGGGCAGTTGAGACAATGCAAGTCAGTCTATGGCCAACATTTCAAGTTACTGGTACTCATCTAGAAGGATGGATTTCCACCAAAGATGCAGTAAGCAAGGCAGGGAGAAGCTGTTTCAGGGAACAGCCAGTGCTATTCTGGGGAAGGGGCTGACTGGTAAAGAAGAGGTCAGTATTTCTAGATCTTCACACAATGCCTCTGCAACTGGGTATTCCACGTGGCTAGCAGAGAAAATTGGGTAGATTTCATCTTGGTCTCACAAAAACCCAGACATTTAAATGTCATCTTTCCTGAAGAGAGTACCAAGCAAACTGCAGATCCAGTGCTGAGTACACCATTACATCATGACACTAATTTCATATTTCTCTGGTTTGTTCTCAGATGGTGTCTCAAAGTCTATGTGAGGATCTGGGTGGTGGATTTCGATGAGAAGAACATAGATGAGGCCCCCAATAACAGCTCCAACCAAAGGGCCCACTACAGGAATCCACCAGAAGTTATTTCCAGCTCTGAAATCAAACAAGAAATTAGTGATACATTTCTTGGCCATCTGTCCCCTGGTGTTGCTGTCTGGTTATTTACTACTTACCTAATATTTCTCATGTTCATAGCTCCCTTTAACACAGGAACAACCAAGTAATAAGGGTGCTCACTGTAGCATAGCAGCCATCATTCCAGACTTTCCAGAATAGCTGATACCTGACTTCAAGTGTTCTATACAGTGTCTCATTAACACCAATGACAGATTGTGCCTCATTTATTTTCCTCTTAGAGAATATAGTGCCTGAGCCCGTAGTCAAGGCTGAGGACCTCTAGGGAAAAGTTCAGACAAATTATTTAGGAATCTACTTTTCCTTATCCTGAAATAAGGATAAGCCTGAGGACTGTGAATAGAAAGAGATGCTCAGAATATGGAGAGATTCCTGGGGGTTGTTAGTTATGAAGGCAATCAAAATAGTGAGTGCTGGACACAGTGGTTCACACCTGTAATCCCATCTGCTTGGCAGATGGCGATCTGGAGGACTGAAGTTCAAAGCCAGCTCGGTCAAAAAGTTAGCAAGATCCTGTCTCAACAAACAAGCTCGAGATGGTGACACACACGTAAGTAATCCCCATTACTAGGTGGAAGATCTCTATCTGAGGCCATCCCCAGACAAAAATGTAAAACCTTTTCCAAAAAATAACTAAAGCAAAAAAGGGCTGAGGGTGTGGCTTAAGTGGTTGAGTGCTTGCCTAGCAAGTGCAAAGCCCTGAGTTCAAACTGCCAAAAAAGTAAATAAAAAAATGAATTAAATTAAAAAAAATCTAAAGTTGATACATGAACTATGTACTAAATACAAGTTAAATTAGTGCATATTTTTTGAGGTTGCATGGCATTCTCTTCCTTCCACAAGTCCTCAGTCAATCCATTCTGGTAAAGGTACAGTTCTGGGAGACAGCAGGTGGCTTTGTGAGTTTTCAATGTCTTTTTTAGAGGAAGGAAATCCATTTAAATAACTCCATAGAAAGTACCGTGATTTTATTTGCTTTTAAGCAAACAAAACATACAGAATATTATTTGAATATATATATTCAAATATATATATATGTATATATATATACACGTGCATACACACACACACACATATATATGACAAACTATTTTTAAAAATCAGGAGAAATGATAAACACAAAGTCAGAGTAATGCAGGAGCAGCAGGAGGACAGGCTGTGAACACAATGGTATGAGGATTCCACCATGCTCTGTGGTGAGAACTTTAATTCTGGAAGAATTGGTTTCTGTTCTTTTCATACTACGATTGATAACTACATGATGTTCCGCATGCCCTTTCATTAACAATACATCCTGATTAGAAAAGATTAGTAAAGAAAATAAGCAGAAAACAAGAGCCCTGTCCTAGACTATAGGAGACCCTGTTCTATTCTCAAAACGGTCTGGAAGGTCTTTGGGCAAGCCACCCTCTGAAGCTTGGTTCTGCCTGTTGCAGAGTCCCTTCCATCTGGAGCATCCAGGTATTTTCATGTGTCCTCAGTCACCAAGGCAACCACCAGATGTCACTCTTACTGCATGAGAGAGAAGACTCTGCACTCCATATTCTCAACTTGGATGCCCATTCCCACGTCCCCAGATCTGGATGGATGGGTTTCTGTGAGAAGAATGTGAAGGGTGGCTGCTTCCTGTACCTAGCTTTAAGCAACTGGAAGCCTTCTCTAGAGGTCAGCACATGAACAGAGTATGAACTATCTGAGTTGGTCCATCATTTCCTTTTTTGGCACAGCTCTGCCTGTCATTCAACAGATTAAGGTCTAAGGTATCTGCAAGGGCACATGTATATCTGTCATTGACTGCACACATTGTGCCAGGAGCACAAGTCATAAATGGAGGATCCAGATGTGGACCCTGTCCAGTACCGTTGTTCATGCACACAGGGTGGTCATCATTTGCACTATGATTTGGGTGCTATGAAGAACAGGTCTATGTTCTCTGCCTAAAGGAAAATCATTAAGGATTCATTACTTTGGATAAACTACCTTTATATATTATTAATATTCCAGAGATTCTTTACCCATTAAGTTAGTAATACCTGAATTTTAAACACTGGATAAAACTCTGGGAAGCATCTTAATACCTAAGGTCAAAGCAGGAGCCAGCCAGAGTCTGTTGGCTCTTGCTCTTGTCAGACCCTCTGGTTCCCTACTCCCCCGCCATCCTCCACTGCCTGGCATCAGGGGCAGGTGAGCACCTGGGAGTAAGGCAATCTTGGCTGTAGCTGAGACCTTGGAGGTAGGACCAGGCTACGATGTCTACTGAAGTGCTTACCTTGGATAGAGAACCCTGAAAGGACAGGACACTCTAGGGATACTTTGGAAACCTGATGGCCTTAAAGGTTTGGGGGACCTTTTGGGTTGAGGATAACCATCCAACCTTACTCTTCCCTAACAGGATTCTGCTGCTCTATTTTCTGCTTTTTCAACTCATCTTATATAATGATGCTAGATTAATTTTGTTAAATTGGCATCCTAACCATGTCAAAAATCCTTTGCTGCTCCCCATAACCTATAGAATAGAGAGCAGAAAAACCAACAGTTCTCATTGTGGGAGTCCATATCCTCTTTGATGTGATTATTGTCCGTTCTTATTATTTGAACATTCTGTCTTTGAATACAGGGTGCTCTCAGCCTGAGATATCCTTATTGTTGTCCATTTAAGCATGTCCAAAGACTACAAAATGCTCCCACTTCCACTTCCACCCCTGCTAATGTTTAACTTTGGAGCTGTGAACTACCTTTCAGTTCCTGGAGTTATTAATCAAATCTGTATAATGACACTTGACAGCCTCAACCTGTGTAAGTGCCTATGCTATAACCTCTCAAGAAGAATATAAATGAACTGGTGAAGGACAGCAACTGGGTCATGTCGTCTTTAGCATAATAGCTGAAGTAGCTGCATGAATGGATAAATGAATGTATAAAGGGAAGAGGCACAATCTCATGAGGAACAGGGGCTCAGGGTTTGGAATTAGATGATTCCAGCATTCCCCCGCAGACAGGGATTCTCTCACACGCTTAAAGCAAAGAGGGGTCATACATGCTCTCTGTTTGGGAATCACCATGATTTTTAGTGCTTTGGATGAATCACCAAGGAGGACTCAAAGAGGAGGGGAGCAAAGTGATCACTGAGGTTCTGTCAGGAGGGATTAAAGGAAACATGGCTAATTTAGACTCTGGGAAGGAGAGTATTTTTAGGATAAGTGCTTTTGACACTCCATTGCAAGAATATAAGGGGTCATTCCTAGGTGGGACCTCTTCATGTCCTACTTCTGATCATTCTAGAACAGAATTTCTCAACTACAATCCTATTATCATTGCAGACTCAGTAATTCTTTGTTATGGGCTCTGCCCAGTGTGTAGTAGTATGTTGTAGGAGCCATCCCTTGCCTCTAACCACTAGGTGCCAGTAGCAATCCCTTCTCCCCACCCTCAGGAATGATGATTAAAAGTATCTCCAGGCATTGTCAAATGTCATTGGGACAAAATTGTCCACCTCTCATTGAGAAGCACTGTTGTAGAAAATTCATTGCGCTGTTAATTTCTGGGTGACAGGGAATATTGCCTCATTCTCTATATCCTCCATCTTCTAAAAGATGCTTGGTATATAGCACTCATTTATCCATGCTTTATTGAGACTTTCTATGAGTCATACCCAGTTGTAGGTACTGTGGAAACACAAGGGGAAAGCTGTCAAGGTCCTCTTGGTACTTTAAAGGCACTCAACAGTATCTGTGGTGGATATCAGTTTGATCTTCACATTGGTAACCCTAACTCTCATTGAAATTGTCAGGACATGCATTTAGAAACCCTGAGGTCCTCTATTCTCACAGAAAGCATTAAAACTGGGGTTTGTTCCCACATGTTTTTCCTACTTCCCTTTCTCTATGTTAGAGCCTTTGTTTTTTTTTTTTTTTTTAGTGAAACAAAGTGAACTCCTTGCCCTTGCCAATAGAGCCTGCCATGAGTGCATGGGAATGGGGCTCTGTGGCTTTATGGAGAGAAAGTGAGAGCAAGAAATTGGGCAGTTTGTCCTAGAAGATTGATAATGACAACCACATGGTGTTGTCATGTCCTGGGCACACACTCTGCCTGTTCTGTCAGGAGTTTCTTACTCATTTCTCAAGACCCAGCTCGGTTCTCACTTCTTCAGTCATGTCTTTCTCAACTTCCTCAGCAGAGTTACTCATTCCCTTCTGAATTCCCTCAACACTTTTAGGGGTTGCCAGAGCACTTCTTACGTTGCTCATGACTAGTGTCTTTGATGATTTTGAAATTTCCTTTTATAGCACAGAAACTAAAACTTAGATAGTACCCAAGAAAGATCTGGTGAATGAGGAAAGGACTCACAAGAAAAAGCCCTTTGGTAGTATCAGCAGATGGAAATTCTAGTTCTGACAGTCACAAAGTCAATCTGTAGACAAGCTATCCAACAAAAATGTTCTCATAAAGCCATAGGCCAATTGAGGGATTAATATTATATTAATAATATTATATAGTATATTGTAGGAGACAAGCCTGTCACTACTGAATTTGCCTAGAGTCTCTGCCTCCCCCCCACCCACACGCTTCTTTCTCTCAATCTCTCTGCATGGCCCCTCACAAATGTACACACACAAATCATATCACAAAACACAAGTCGAGTGTTCCACACTTGTGACCAGACTGCATATTAACCTCTGCTCTCTGATCTGCACCCTCCTGGATCTCCAAGTCAAAGCAGAGCCCTCCTCCAATGAGGTATGGTGTGAATCGTTTTCCCTGATCCCCCGTTGGTACTTACGTGAAGACCTCAAACCCCCATCCTGCTAAAGCAGTGAAAAGTCTAGGGCTCAGATCTCGAGCAGGGTTCATGGCACAACCACTATTCAGTCCCAAAGAAGAAGAAATGACAATAATCAGGAGGCCAATGACAACAGGCTCTAGGCCTTTGGGGACACCCAAGTTTCTGGAGTCAAAAATGGCAAAGACAATCAGGAGGAGGAATGTGGTGGACACTACCTAGAAAGGAAGAAAAGGTACAGTAGTTTAGGCTGTATTCTGCCAACTTGCCTACCTCAAAATTCACCCCTCCTTTTAAAAGATGAACTTAGTTAAAATTAACATATACTGGATAAGTACACAGCACTTCTTTCCACAGTAATGCTAAAAGTTGATGCTAATATAATTGTCCTTTACAGATTAGTTACTTGCCCAAGGTCACACACTTGGCAGCAGGTGCAGGCCCAGAGTGATCATCTCTAGAGACTGTTACCTGAACTTCTACACTGTTACTCCTGGCTGAGCTACTCATCAGTCACTCAGTAAGGCAGGTTGCAGGTGGGAAAAATGAACGGAGGACTTGCTCAAATTGGTGAGAAAAACATCGAGACAGCAATAGAGACATATACAAAGGAAAGGGACAGAAAATTCCTAAAAGAAAAATCAGATTAGGAAACAAGTGGGAAATCTGATTTGTAATAAGAGAAATACAAACCATACCAAATGTTAGGGAAGAAGATGAAGTCTTTCAGAGTTTATAGAAGAACTAAGCACATACCACACTTTCGAAAGGAAAGTGTGGAAAAATTATAAAACAGATGTGCTCACTTAAGCATTGTTTCCAGTACTGAAGACTGGAGGCCACCTAAATACACCTCAATAAGGAAAGAGCTATATTATTGAATGTCTAGTTCATAGTCTACTCTTCAGCCATTAAAATTATATACACAAGAACTATATGGTAACATTTTAAAAATGATTGCAATATTAAGTGAAAAATAAATTGTATGTACAGTGTTTTATATTTAAAAGAATGCATAAAACAAAAATTGCAAGTGACTATACAAAAATGAGAACAGGTATTCTGCAGTAGTGGGTTTTTGCTGGTGTTTACCCCTCTGTTTTCTAAACTTTTAAACTATTACTTTACTTGAACAGCTAAATGGTGACTATTACTTACTGAATGCTCATTATGCTTCATATGAATGTACTGACAGTTGTCACATTTGAAGTAGACAAATGTGTCTACTTCATTCATGGCCCTTCCTAGGCTTTATTTCATTAAAACTTCATAAGAACCGTGTGAGGTAAGTCCTATTACCGTTCTCAGTGTATAAACAAGGAAATATAGGTAGGAAGAGGTTAAGACACTTGCTCAAGGGCATGCAGCCAGTAAGCAGATGAGTCGGAATGGGACCCAGTCAGCTGATTTTAGAATTTAATCTCATCATCATTTTGTCAGCTTTCTAAAGTAATACTATTAAAAGAATTTGTAATCAGAAAGGCATCTTCTCCTAGGAGCAGCCTTCTCTGGAAAGCCTTTCTCCACTCTCTGGGCTTTCACTGCATTCTGTCTTGATTTCGGTTCCTGCCCTTGTCACCTTGCAAAGGAATGATCTGTTTACTTGTCAGGTTGAACATCTGACCCTGGACTTGAAGACAGAATAGCTTGAAGATGTACCTGCCTCTGTAGGAGCCCAATAAATATTTATTGGCTAGATGAATGATTAACTAAATTATGAAATATGCTTGGTTAATATTTAGAACAAAACCTTGAGATAAGGTAACCCCAGAATATGGTCTTGGTGGCCAACAGTTTTCTTTGGTGTTGGCTGACTAATAATTGGCATCTTCCTGAACTTCTAAAGCCAGTCATGCAGCGAGCCTTCAGGGATTGCTCATGATTGGAGCACCATGAGTTCTAATGTTTATTTTCTCTACTTAGCCATATGTAGTCATTGCCTTAAAAGCAATGATCCTTAGAAAAAGTGGCAACTCATTGTGAGATAATGACACAGTGAAGAAAGTGAGGTGATGTACCTGTGTCACATCAGTCAAGACTGGGATAGCCCTCGGTGAGGCCAGACCACACTGAGCAGATGCCAAGGAACTTCCTTGTGCCCAAGACACTTGGTGAAACACCTTAAGGATAGGAACTGGAAGGCTATGTGAAAGTCTCCAAGGTCCTTTTAGAAGAACAAAAAAGAGAAGGAAGTAGGGAGATGGAAAAGAGGGTTGCTTAAGGGTAGGAGCATTACTATTTGTTGTCTGCCCTCTTTGTGCAGGGATTTATTTCTGTAGTGTATTAGTCAGGTATTACTGATGCCATTTGTCAGAAGACTGAGCTGAGATCTTATAAGGTTCTAATTACTAGTACAAGGACAAACACATGGTAAGGGGCAGGGCTAAGACTTGGTCTCCCATCACACTGAGGAATTATAATGAAAGCTTGTGCCACTCTCTTGCCCTTGGGGTAGTTTTGTGTCAGGGACACCTCTGGGGCCAGTGAACTCTCTAGAAGGGAAAGGAGGTATGTCTATGGGAAGGAGGAGAATGTTGCTCCCGGACTTAGTGGAGAGGGAATATTTCTGGGGCCAACATCAAAGGAGCTGGAGACTTCGCTTTGCTCCTCAGACTTTCAGCATAGCCTGAGAGTATAGGGAACTGTGAGTCTTTAAAACCCCAGACATAGAGTTAAGCACAGAGCTGCCTATTTGGTTTGCTGATTAAAGTGGAAAAGAAGGATGAGGACATAAGAACACAGTCTTTCATCCATCCATTGAATGGAAGTGGTCATAGCTGATAAACTGAAAGATCCATTTTATATACATGCCCACTTCAGTTTGCCCCATTGCATAAATCCTGATCATTAGGGAACTTAGAACCCTTCCTCCCTTCCTTCCTTCCTTCCTTCTTTTGTTCCTTCCTTCCTTCCTTTGTCCCTTCCGTCCTTCCTTCCTTCCTTCCTTCGTGCTTCCCTTCTTCCCTCCCTCCTTCCCTCTCTTTCCTCTTTCCTTTCTTCCTCCTTTCCTCCTTCTCTCCCTTCCTTCTACTTTGCTACCTCCTTTTCTTCCTTCCTTCCTCTGCCCTGACCAAGGTGACCAGCACTTGTTGCCACACAGCAAGAGAGGAATAGTCTATTGGTCTGACAATGTTGATCCTGCCACAAACCTACCAGAATATTTGTGCTTTTGGCTATTCCACAAATTCTTGGGTGCAGGCAACTAGTTTAAGTATCAATAAGGCAGAGAAACCTCTAGCTACCTTGAAACCTAGACTCATGGAGATACAGAAAAATCCATGGTACCCTAGGCTCACTACCACACTTCCCAGTCCTTGAATTAAGACAGCAGTGTCTTCTATTGTGGCCTTCACCTTTAGACCATATGTACAAAAGAGACAATCATAGTTGCCTCTATAGGAGTTACAACATTCAGTTATCCACTCTTTTCTGGACCTCAGCTAATATGAAACAAGTGTATGTATTAGAGAGAAGCAGAGAACTCTTCTAGTGGTACCAACTTCTGCAAGGGTGAAAAATTGTCAAGAAAGCTTGTCACCTAGTGACATCTGACTTTGGAAATATGACCTTTCCTTTCTCATAGGCCTGTAATGTACTCCAATACATCTCCCTTCATTGATTATGGATTTTTACCAAAGTTAAGTCTTTGTTGAATCTACACTTACTTGGTCTGCAAATGCATTCACTAGAGATAGATATGGAGCTGGGTATGTTGCAAAAATGAATGCTGTTGCATTTTCTCCCACGATGAGCAATTTTCCACCAGCAAAGGACATAAATCCATCTATGAAAGACAGAGCTATGGTACATTAGTGTTCTTTTGAAAAAGTTGAGGGAATCTTTGGTCAGGCCCTTGTGCTAAACAACAACAGTCAAACACACAGGTTGAACTTGGTATATCCTGTCTCTCTGGGCTTCATATTATGATAGTCTTAGAGATGCCTAAGGGGAATCCTAGGATGGTAGCTTCAAGGCAGAAAACCCTTGGCTGCCCTGAGGATTCACTCCAAACTTGGACCAAATCCTTAGTCCTGTGTGGTGTTGGGAACTAATCTTTTTGCAGAATTTTTTTAATTTTCAAGATCAACCTAAAGTCAAAGTGAGGCTTCGATATGCTCTAGGCAGAGTTTATAGTTCACACAGGGTTCTTGGTAGCCCCTAATAACACACTCTAGTATTTGAAGGTATCACACTATAGTGAGAGCTGGGGGATGGCCACAGGGACTTTTAGAACCAGGGGATTGTAGCTACCTACACAGTCAGCACCATCCCTAGGCCTGTCTTGTCTGGCCTTGATTTCTCCTTAGTCCTCTTAGACTTTAATTTTCAGGGAGACATGATGGGGAGATGTCCCTTTCCACAGTTTATTCCCCTAAAGTTTGGCTTATCAGTTCTAGCTCTCAGGGTCTTTGTTTGATAGTCATAATGCATTGAGGTAGATTTCATGGAATCTCAAGATTTCTTAGTTTGAATGGCCTTAGAAGTCAGCTAGTTCAATTCTCTCATTTTCCAGAGGAGGAAACTGAGGTCTGTCAGGTCAGGTGACTTATTGTAAATCACACAGCCCCTTACTGACACAGGCAAAACTCAAGTCTTGGTCTTTGATCACCAGTACCATGTTTCCCCAAGGACTGTTGTGGCATGGAAGCCCTGGCTGCCTGATAGAAGGGGGTGAAGTTCCTTATCCAGCCCATTTCTCTGCATCCTCTTTTCTTCAAGACATTTTCCCAGACATTTTCTAAATACTTATTGGTCATAAACTTTGCCACCAAACAGAATCTCCTTTCTCAGCCAACTCAGAAAAAAATGTGGAGAAGCCACTGGCCTATTTCTTATTTCTTGTGTGTCCACATCAGAGTACAAATTAGACCTAAAAATGGGCTTCTTTAAGTTCATCACTGTCCTCATTTAAGATGTCACCATTTCCATTAAGAAGCTTCATAAAATTTGTCCAAATGATAATGTTGGCCTAATTATCTTAAACTTAGGATTTCCTATCAGTTATCCCCATTCTTGCTTTATTTCACTTCTTCCCACCAAGTAATTCTGGCTTTCAAAACTTTGAATTCAGGGGCCTACTCACCATAGTAAACGCCAAAGAGGGTAGCGGCTCCCACAAAGGCTCCTAAAAACTGAGCTCCCACATAGAATGGTAATTTGAACCACTTCATCCTTCCAAAGAGACACATTGCAAAAGACACAGCTGGGTTGATGTGGCCACCTGCAAGGAAGAGAAGGTGGTTAGGGTGTCAGCGGGCAGCCAGGAGGAACTGTAATGAAGAAAACTGTACGTAGAAGCCTTGGCAGAATTCACTCTGCTAGGGAAGAGCCGTATGTGAGGACAAAGAGGTGTTTGCCTGTGAGTGTGTGTGTGTGTGTGTGAGTGTGTGTGTGAGTGTGTGTGAGTGTGAGTGTGTGTGTGAGTGTGTGAGTGTGTGTGAGTGTGTGAGAGCGTGTGTGAGTGTGAGTGTGAGTGAGTGTGTGTGTGAGTGTGAGTGTGTGTGAGTGTGTGTGAGTGTGAGTGTGAGTGAGTGTGTGTGTGAGTGTGAGTGTCAGTGTGAGTGTGAGTGTGTGAGTGTGTGAATGTGAGTGTGTGAGTGTGTGTGAGTGTGAGTGTGAATGTGAGTGAGTGTGAGTGTGAATGTGAGTGTGTGAGTGTGAGTGTGAGTGTGAAGGGAGGAGACATCATTACCTACTGTTGAGAATTTTTATCCTATGAAAAGGGATAAGACAGAAAGAAATTGATGTGCTCAAGCGCTTTAATGGGATTTTATCATCAATTAAGAAGCCAAACAGACTGATGTAAACTATTAACATCAATATACTCACACAGTACGTGTGTGTAAGGTTTAAACTCCTCAGCCCATGCCCAGTCTTAGCACTGAACAGTGAGGTCTTTTGAACGGAAGTGCCCCAGGCTAATGCTCTGTGCCTGTCCCTGAAGTGAGGTGTTGCCTTGGTTTTGGGGTGATCGCAGCAGATTATCCTCTGTTCCTTGGCCTGAACATAACACATCTCTCTCACACAGAAACAGCAACAATTTCTTCTCTCCAAATCAGACCACAGCTAGTGGAACTGGATTTCTCATTCTCATCTATTCATAAAATCAGATAGAAGATTTGCTCTGTGGAAAGTCATTATTGTCCCCAGTGGGCTTTGGATGTAATAGCAACATTTACTGAACTATCATGGGGATGTTATGTACATTTGAACCTCTTAAAAACACAATGAATCTGAGGATGGTGGCCCATATCTGTAATCCCATCTACTTGGGGGAGTAGAGATAGGACTCAGGAGGCCAAGGATGGAGGGCAGTTAGCTTGAGAATTTATCTGAAAAACAAACTACAAACAAAAGGGCTGGAGGCATGACTCAGTGGTAGAGTGCTCAAGCTTAAGGTTCTGAGTTCAAACCCTAGTACCACAAAAACAAGCAAACAAAAAGATAAACAAAAGATAAAATTCAAATCCAGATTCAAATGAACTCCGGAGCCAGGTTCTATGTTAATCCACTTCCAGACATGCTTTACCAAAGAAAGGCTTCGCCACCCTTTGTGGGCAGAGAAAAAAAATTAAAGAATTTAAAAAATCATTTTTGAGCATATAGGTTCACTTCCCAGAGGAAAAAAAAGACAAGACATTCTTTTTAGGAACACAGATGACATTTTATGTGGAGGGAGAATCAGAGTCACTGCCAAGGTGACCACATTGAAATGTGGACTTTCAGGGTGTAGACATGGTTGTAAACAAGAGAGGTGATAACGGCAATAATGAATGTCATGGTGATAATGAAGCTGCTGCTGATAAAACTGTACCATCTGACCAAGAGCTTGTTTCCAGAAGGCCTCCCCCCATGAAGAGAGCAAGGCTTTTCCTGCCTCTCCAAGCCAAAATGTGCTTGTATGGGGCTTCTGGCTGCTGGCTAAACCACAAGGGTCCTTTCTTCACCTGCTTCTTCCACCAATGGGTTAATGAGAGCAAGAAAATGCCAATATATCAAAGCATAGACAATTTGCTGAAACCTTGAAGATACTTCAACTGTAGTGTTTTGCTTTTAAAATCCAAGAGAACCTTGATTCTTGGGACCAGCAGAAGATAGCTGGTCTTCTTGCAAGACTAAGAACATGGGCTTGGACAGGAACACACAGGGAACTAGGAAGGTCCTGAAGCCAGCCTGTTCCTCTTCTCCCAGAGGATGCATCAGGAGCAACTGTCACTCAGCCAGCCTAGAGGCACTCACTGTGAAAGCATAAGGGGGCCAGAGGAAGTCACCTCTAATCAAAAATAGCTCCCCTCACATAAGTCCACCAATAGGAGACTTCTTAACAAAGTCCATGTCTAAAATAAAATTTCCCATAGATACGTACCTTGCTGCTTTTTACCTCCCCACCCCCCATTAAGCACCCTGAACCTCACACAATACAAGGAACTTAGTAGGATTTTGAGACTTGAAAGTTGGAGAAATAACCGGAGGCCTTATTTAGGTAACTACAAAGATCTAAAGAGAGGGAAAGTTGTTTGGAGGTCAGAGAGGGTGTGTCTGGGAGGATGCTTTGAAAAGGTCTGAGAGGTAGAAGAAAAGGTTCAGTAAAGGGGGAACCAGTGGTACCCTGCCCCTCTTTCGCTGGGGGGCAAGTGACTTCTAGAAATTTCTCCCCGTAGCAATGAGTGTCCTTGTGGGCTTCTACAAGGACAAGGCAGAGCAGTGTAGTGGAAAGAACATGATCTAGAGTCAGAGTCCTGCACCTGAACACTGACTCTGCCAAGGTTGGTTTGATGATCATATTATTCACATAAAGAGTATCAGGGGACAGCCGGAACCCATGAGGCCCAAGATGAGTCTTAGGTGAGCAGAGCGAACTCTTTTAAGATTCTGTTCTAGGCAAATTCCCTCCTCCTTACCCCACATAGAAAATTCAGTGATAGAGATATCTTATATTTCATCTGTCATTAAGCAAAGCTATTTTGTTTTTATCAGTGAATTTATTTTTCTAACAAAATGCAGCATCAAAAGAGACTACCATCAGGTAGTTCAAACTCTGTGTGGGCTGCTGCACAAAAAGGGTGTGGTGAGTTCTAATTTATTGATTCTGGTTTGCATATTCACAAAGGACCAGGAAACTGTAACTTCTTTATAGTAAGTGATGTCTTATATTTAAAAGTCAAATGTCAGCTGACCTCACCAGTGTGCAATCACAAAATGAGATCACACTTATATTTATGCACAATATACAGTTGTTTTTAGAATCTTCAAAGAGAGCCTCACATGTGGCCGCAAACCAATGTTAGCTGCAGTCAACATGACACTCACCTAGAAATGCAACTTCTAGTGAAAATAGGCCCTTACCCTTCTACTCACAGGGGCTTAACCCAAGTTCGAGGGCCAGAGGAGAAGGCTCCATGCCATTTTTTCACTCCCTCTTATTCTTCCTGCTGATCACTGCCCTTTTTCCTCCTATGATGACCTCCCCCCACCCCCCGCCACCTCCACATATAGCAGTGGGTACAAACAGGTATGGACCAAGATGGTGGTGAAAGGTGTTACCTGTACTGGCAGAGTCTAGGACCAATGAATCCTAGGTAACTACTTAATGATGTTCAGTTCAGATTGTTAGTCAACCAAAATACTCCAAAATTATGTCTGCACCCAGAAGACAGGTGGCAATACCTCCATCTTCACCTCATGTGGTTTGTAGAAACCACACTTACGTGAATGCACTGAGAGCTTGTAGGGCATAGCACGGAGAATCTGGCATGCTTGTGTTAAGCCATGAGTATGTTTTGTAACTGGTGTCAAGTCCAGCACTCCAATCCAGCCATGGCACATTCAGGACAGGCCCATGATTATTTTTGTGCCCTACCTGATGCCTGCCTTGAAGTAGGTAGTATGGTGCTGGGATCACAGCAAAAACTCAAGAAGAACTTGAATGGAGATACTACACATGCCAAACAAATCATATACACTGGAAACTATTACCAGATCACCCCAGGGTGGGAGTCTGTGATTTGGAAAGGGTACCAAATAGAAAGTCACCACTTGAGATATCTTGTTCAGGAGGCTCCCGGGAGTCCAGGCAATCATTCGTTAGCACTCTAAAGGCAGCATCTATTTTAAGGCCAATCATCTTACCTGGCAGGGCCTTTTTAACCAAAACAGACCATTGTGAGCCTTACTGTCATGCCGACCTGGGTCAAATCATTGTTCTGTTCCTTTACCCCTTGCACAGCTTAGGCAATATACTAAATCTCTCTCCTCCCCAGTTTTCTCTGTTGAATGAAGACAATAATACGGCGTCAGAGCTATTGCAAAGGAGAAGGGAGATGAAGGATGTCTGGTAACCAGCACAGTGCCCAGTATACAGCGGTTTCTCAGTTCCTTTTCTTCTCTTCTCATCAGCTGTCTTGCCTCAGTACCCACACCAGGCTGCTGAAAGTTTCAGAGCACCTTCCACAGTCCCTTCTTAAGTTTCCAGACTGTGTTAAATATCATTATTTCTGCTTCTCAGAAACTTATAAATGGCTTCTCATCAGCCCAGCCCTCAGGGAAGAATTAGATTAAGACTTAGATCAGATATTCACTGCCCTAAAAGTTCCATCCATTTTGCAAGACACTACACTCTATTGCTGCTGCTGAAAGTCCAGAGACTTGCTTCTGATGGCATGACCTCCACTGAGCTATTCACAGGACATCTGAGAAGTAGTTTCCAAGTGTCAGGTAGAGCAAGTAAAAGACCACATTGATTGCTGAAGATAATGAGGCAGTGGTCATACTCAGGAATGAATCAATTGTGAGTTCAAATCCCCATTGTTGTCTCTTGCTAAAAGAGACAAGTTGCCTTTACATAAATCACTTGCTAGTTGTTAGAGATTTTAATTTTATCATATATAAAAGGATCAAATTCATATTCTTCCAGGATTGTTGATATAGAAATAAATAAAGGCATGTAAAGCACCCAGCGCTGTCTTCCTACCTTGGGATTGTTGAGCTAACAGTAGCTGCTGTAATTTCTACTGCTTACCAGAGACGCCTCCGGTCACATAAATGGCCATCACAACTGACATTGCAAATCCAACATTGATAGTGACAATTCCTCCAAAATGTCCTCGACTGAGGACAGCTTGGGCAACACAGCCACATCCAAGGACCTGGAAAGGAAAGAGAGGAAAACTCAACAAGCAAATGTGGATATGGCCACTGTCAAAAGCAATGGAAATTCACAGTATCAGTAACATTTTTTAAAGCAAATTCATGGATCAGGCTGCCTCAGACTTCACGCAAATCAAATTATGATGTTCCAGCCATACACAGATAGCCAAATTGTAGACACAAGGCTGTATCTTGCTGATAGATTGAGTTTTGTTGGGTCTTCACAATATGAAAATTCTGCCCACTATTTATGTCAGGCATTTTCACAATTGGTGCTGTGGAGGGAGGCCTGGGTGATTGACAGGTAGTGAAAGCACAGTTTTCATTGTATGCCCTCCTTCTCATTTAACATGCATTTCTGACTTTAAAAATGGATCCTACATATTCATGGAATAACCAGTTTAAAACATTTCATCATAGTCCATGAAAGGAAAATTTGGAGGACGAGGGTTCTTGGGAAAGATGAAGCAGTTGTTACAAGTGTGGTAGAAAAGAAAGACAGCAAATGACCACCAGGTGTTATCATGTTCTGGTTTAAAAAACAGCTGTGGTCCTGGAGACATAAGATAGGGACAGAGGAATCATTAGATGATTGCTTTTTATGTGTCAAATTGGCCAAACTTTTCCTGGAATAGAGTCTAGTTTCGACTTCATAACAAGGAAGAGCAGCTATAGTAGACTCCATTATCTGTAGGGGATGTATTTTAAGGCCTGCAGTGGATGCCTGAAACCATGGATAGTACCAAACTCTCTATATATGATTGTGTGTGTGGTATGTGTGTGTGTGTGTGTGTGTGTGTGTGTGTGTGTGTGAATGTGTGTGTTCTGAGAATTTAATCCAGGGCCTCATGCATGCTGGGCAAGCACTCTAACACTTCAGCCATACCTCCAGCTCCTTGCTTTGCATTTTGTTTTTGAGACAAGGTCTTTCTAACGTTGCTAGTGCTGGCCTCGAACTAGAGATCCTCAGGCCTTCACCTCCTAAGTAACTGGGGTTATAGGCATGTGCCATTATGCCTGATTATGTTTTTTATAAGTACATACATATGATAGAAGTTTAATTTATAAATTAGGCACAGGAAGAGATTATCAACAACTTAAAATAAGATGATTATAACAATATGCTGTTATAAAAGTTACATGGATATGGCACCCCTCTTCTCCCCCAGCACTATCTAAATATCTCATTGTATTTAACCCACCTTGCTTCTTATCAACCATGGGTGGCTGAAATGACAGAAAGCAAAACCATTGGTAAAGGGAGGACATCACAACTAGGAGGGGGATTCAATATCAAGCAATTAAATATCATTAAGAGCAGCAAAATAGTAGAGCAATGGTTTCATGAACAAAAAGATTTTAGGAAAAAGCAATTAAGAACATGAAGGCTTCAGGTCAGGTACAGTGGATCACACCTGTTATCCCAGCTACACAGGAGGTAGAGATTGGGAAGATAGTGGTTGAGAACTTCTTGGGTAAAAAAATGTTTGCAAGACCCCATCTCAAACAATAGCTGGGTGTGGTAGTGCACACCTGCTATTCCAGCTCCATGGGAAGCATAATTGGAGGGATCACCATCCAGGCCAGTCTTGGCAAATCTGTAAGACCCTATCCCAAAAATAACAACAGCAAAAAGGGCTGGGGGCATGGCTCAAGTGGTAGAGCACCTGCTTAGCAAGAAGGAGACCCTGAGTTCAACCCCCAGTGCCAACACACACACACACACACACACACACACACACACACACACACACAGAGAAGAATGTGAAGGTTTCTTATCAGGAAGATAATATCTAGCTATAGTGTCTCTTTCCAAAGAATGAAAAGGGAAAAAAATCCAAAACTAAAGTCTGAAAGTTTGCAAACAATTTTTTGACAGAAATGAATTATTTTAAATGGTCTCCAAAGGGCTCATTTGTGAGGCCCGTCAGAGAAATATGGTGCAGAAAAAAGATATCTAGTACATATAGAATGGTTTCAGTTTACTCCTCCCTACAGGCAGAAGACAGATGGCACATGGATGATCTTCAGATGTCCCATCCACCCCCAGTTCTGCGGCATACTCACTTGTCTTCCAACTACTGGACAGTGAGGAGCAGCAGGAGAGCTTGACCTCTTGAGGGAGGCCTTGGGTCTGCACACCACATGCACAGGGCACTTTTTCTTACTTCACCCACACTCTTGGATCAAAACCCTACACAGAATGTTAAATACAGCTGCAGTAGGAGCATGTTCTCCCTCCCTTTTCAGAAAGTCCTAAGTCTATCTCATAGCTTACCAATTTCACCTAGATATGACATTATTTTTTCTAGAATCCCGTCTATTATAATACCTGTCAGAATTAAACATTATTGCCATTCTTTTATTCGTATAAATTGATTGTACAAATCATTGTGTTGTACATGGGTTTCACTGTGAAATTTCCATACTATTTCTTTTTAATTTAAAGCCAATAGAATGCTCTGGGTACAACTTCCAAATTAACTAGTATTTTATAATACTATCCTGAAAAGAGGAGAGCCAAGAGTGACCTGATCTGGACTAGCAGGAGTGAGGAGACACACACCCCAAGAGAGGCAATCCTAGCGGTTGGTGCTTTTCAAATAGGCACCTTCCCTTCCTCAGGGTTCTAACACACATGCTCGTCTGCTGGACCAGAGAGAACATAAAAACTTAAATGGACCTGGGAGGCCTCTACCCTGTCAAGTTTCACTGTGATTACTACTCTTGTGTCCTACCCTCGCTGCTGGGGTTGCCTTTCTAGGGAGGATACACTGGTGTGTACTGTGGGGAAGAAACAAGAGGACAGGAAAATGTGAGGGCCTCAGTAACCCTCACCAGAATTGCCACTTGGAAGATCTCCACCCAGATTTTCAGCATTGAGACTGAATTTTTAAATATAGTTATTGTAGCCTGAAAAGCAATGAGGAAGACAGGTATTGGCTACTAGTGTCTTCCCTTGCCCGCCTTCTCCAGCCAAGCAGCACTTGGATATTCTAGTACATCATGGCTTGGTTGCTGGGAAAATTAGTCACTCACTCTAATTTCCTTCTTTCATAAGTCAGTGTATTTTTTCCCTTCAAAAATGAAAGTATTGTCTATACTATATGGTATTGTAGGTAAAATTTCCCATACGATTTTTTGGTTTGACTTTTAAGAACTGTCACATCTTTCCCATTCTTAGTCACAGGAAGGGTCCATTATCATATATCTCCTGTGTTTTTTGTTCTGGCCTCTCCATCAGGACAGCTTATTTAAGCCCCCAACCCATTCATACTCTTCTCACCAAACCTAACCTCTCTTCTCTGAAATTCAATTATACTGTCCATACCGTACAATCAATACTGACTTGTTTTCCAAGTGCCTGGCTCTTGGTTTCCTTATTTAGAGAACAATCTCTATGGTTACTTTCCATACCAGCAATCAGCCACATGCTAGTCTCTGTGCCCTTGGGTTTTCTGTTTCCTAAACCATTCATCAATTCTTCCTCCATAGATCTTATATAAACTTACAAGGTCTCTTTCACATTCTTGGCAAGACCCGGCACCTGCTCAGTCTACCTGCCTTCTCCAGAAGAATTAGTCAAATATCAAAACCTTATAGGAGATGGGTGGCATCACAAAACCATGGATAAAGTCTTCATAGTGTCCTTTGCTGTCTCCAAAAGTTCTAATTCATCTTTCATTCAGACTCTCCAAATAACTTCACCAGGCCTTCTCTTCTCTCATCAACTCAACCCACCCAACTGTCCTACAAATAATACCACCTTCTGCTTGACTCAGTGCTATTAGTGGGTTTGGAAGATCAATGGTGATTCAGTTGTCACATGACCATTTGTCCAGCAGTGCATAACTAGCCACAAACTTAGAGCAGTATTTATTTTGCTTATGAATCTTGTATTTGAGCAGGATTTGTAGGACATCTCATTTCTGCTCCATTTGTATTTAAGTGTGGTGGTTTTCAAGGTCGGAGCACTGGAATTATCTGAAGGCTCATCTATTCAATCATTTAGTGACCAATGCTGGGCATTGGCCAAAACACTTACAACTGGTTTCTGAATGTGGCCTAGCTTCTTTACAACATGGCAACTGGATTTCAAAGGTGAGCATCATACAGGCTTCAGAGTCTGTGTTCTTAATTCCTGTATCATGTGTCTTTTTAGTTATACTTCTGAACTTGATATCAGACAGAAGAAATCTGCTATAGGCATTCTCCCTACAACATCCTAAATGGATATTTAAAGGCCCATGCTATATTGCCTTTAGGGTAGGGAACTCATTACACATTAGGTAGTTTGTTGTATATATTTCTTTTACTGATGTAGGGGTTTAGGAGTCCTTTCCATATGAACTTGGAGGCTTCTTTTCTGTAATTTCAGTCTTTTAGCTTCAGACCCACTCTTGTTCCCTCTGGGAATGCATAACAAGCATTCCAATAAGTGGCAGTAGCAATATTGTTCTCTTGAGTTTTCTCTTCTCCTGGACCTTTGTTCCTTCATCTCTGGTCCCTGGAGCTCCTTAGACTTCTAGTGAGTCTCATCTAGATAAGCTTTAGGTTGGCAGAAATGGACACCATATTCCTGTATTTGGGCATCACGTTGTGACACAACAAATAATCCTGTACTTTCTGATTTGTGGCTTTTACTGCCATCTGGTGGGCCATTTAGCCTCAGGATATACTTCAATTTTCACATGTTTGTGCCTGGTTTCAAAATTTCACGAGAAAATATTCAAGATTATATATTAAGTGTCTTTGTCTTTAGAGGTAATTATTCATCAGATTATTTGTTCCAGGTATGAGAACAACATTGGTATCTGTGCAAATGAACACGCTGCTTCTTGGGCTCAGCCTGCTCCTCTATTAAATGGAAAAAGCAGTATCTTGCCAGGCTTGCTTCATAGGACTTGGGAATAAAAGTTCAAATGAGATAACATTAACAAAGGCACTATTTAAACAACAAAGGGCAGTAATAAATGCAGGATATTGTTGAATTACATGTAAACTCAAAAAAAAAAAAAAACTCCAGTTCAGGGTGAATAAGTACAAACAATTGCACCCATGAGTAATTTAACCACTAACTTACTTCCTGGAAATACAAACAGGGGCAAAAATACATCTATGACAGACAGTAGAAATAGTTAGTTTCATTCCTATTCATGGAATCAAATTTGGGAGGTAGGGAAGGGACATGGAAAGGTGATGACTCCTTCAAGTTCTTTTGCCTATTTGTGGTGAAATTCCAAAGACAGACCACTGTATAATCGGCAGGGTTTCAATACTTTGGGTAGAAAAGCAACAAAAGAAAAGAAGAGGGTAAATGCTGTTTCTAATACTAGGTTCTATGCAGCAAGAGAAAGAATTTCAATGGAAAAGGGGGGAAAAACATTTGAAAGGCAGAATTGGTGTGTAATTAATTGGTATATGATTTACTCTATGCCATTCCTAATCACCCAAGCCAAACATGGTATTCCTTCCCCTTCTTTCACTCATACCCAATGTTCCCATATCTTGCTCAGCCTTCTACCTGTAGCCTCTGACCAGTTTTCTCACATCCGCTCTGCCACCCAGTGACCATGCCAGATATCATGGCTACAGACACACCGAAACCTCTCTGCTTCCTCCAGCTGGCATTGAGGGTTTTCCACTCCCTTGTCTCACAAATTCTGGCCACTTTCTGCCCAACACGAATCTTTAGCATCAACCAGGCTATGTGCTGGTCACTCTGTGTCCCTTGAGCTGATGTTTGTCATTCACCTCTGGGTGTCTGATCACTCTGTGTCCCAGCCCAGAAAGAATGTCCTTTCCCTGTATCTCTACCACCAAAGTCAATCAATCCTTAACTCAAGCTGCAATCTCACCTTCTTCATGGTGCTTTTTCTCACAACTTAAACCCTTACTGGCCTCTTCAACCACATCTATAGACTGTCACTTCATTATATGTCACTTTGTCTTGTGGCACCTCAGCAAGACAATAATGTCCACGAGAGCAGCTCATTCTTCTTTATATTCTATGTTTAAATAATATTTGAAGAAAGATTAAAATATTTAAACAGAAGTAGGAGAAAACATGTTTTCCTTGATATCAAGAGAAAGCAGAAAAGGAGAAAAGGTTATAGTGTGGAATGAGATGTGAAAATAGGAGGTGTAATTTCTAAGAAATATCCCTTGGAAGTGCTGGGAAGTCCCTCACTGAGCCATGACCCCTGTGACAAGCTGTTTACTGGACACAAAGTGAAACCTAGCATGACGAAGTGATTCTCATTAACTGAATAGCCTGGGATGGGGAGAGGAAGAATCTGCCCACAGATTTTACTGTGTTTTACCCCCTCAAATTTCTTTCATATTTATTGCTTATTTTAAAATGTGAAATAAAATGTTCCTAGTAGAATATATGGTGTGTTATGGACTCAATAAAATCTGAGCCCTTTCAGAAAAGCAGTAATGAACTTCAGTAATTCCTTGCAAATGTGTGTGAATAACACACGTATGGTTAGGAACCACCAGGGAAACTTGGAATTGTTGCAAGAAGTCTGCGATACCTCCTATGCATGAGACAGTGTCCCAACATGGAAGAGTAATATGTCCTGATCTGCCCCTTATGAACCATTTACCTCTTAACTTGTCTGTTTAGGGTTGTGTGAATAAAGGAATACAAATGCTCGCTTCATTTTTTTTTTTGAGATTGAGTCTCACTATGCAGCCCAGGCTGGTTTTGAACTTACAATCCTCTTTCCTCCACTTCCTGAGTAAGCGAATTAGAGTAGTGCACAGCCACGCCCAACATATTTGGTGCATTCTTTGTGCCAGGTTCCATGCTAAGCATACTGTATTGCTTCATCGCTATCCTATTATTAACTTACAATCCCTCTGGGAGGAAAAGAGCACTGTCTCCATCTTATGCATGATGACACTGAGCAACTTGCCTAGTTTTGTGCCATTGTAAGGAGACAGAACCAGGAACCATCACAGACCTGGCTTAGCCAGAGGTGTGAATCATTACACCTTCTGAGATCCTCAGGAGCATTGGAAATATTCCTGTGTTCCACACGACGTAGGTAGAGGATCAGTTTGCCTATTTTCATGCTGGAAGCAATGGGTTGTCCAGAAAGGCTGAGGGACATGGAGACCCTAGGCAGCAGCCGTCACCAATCTATCTAATATAAATGGCCTCACTAGTAAACCAGGTATGTAGTCTGAGAAGACATGACTGAGGCCAGGGTTAATTTGGGAGCCTGCTTGGAGTTCTATCTAGTCTTTCTGTCACAGCAAGTGGATTGTGTGTGTGTGTGTGTGTGTGTGCGTGTGCGTGCATGCGTGTGACAACACATGGTCACCTTGGTTTAGAAAATACCTGATAATTGAGTTTTTTCACTAAAGCTTCCCAGTGACCTAGAGAGAAATTCCCTTTCAGCTCCAGTTCCCCTCCTTTCTCAGAGACCAACAAGATATGTTGGTGATTATAGCCAGTTTTTCAAATGTATGCAAAACCAATTTCCACACTTTCTATTGCCTTGAGTTCAAGCTCCCCTTGCATAGACAGGTTTCATTAGATGACCAAGTGCTCACTAGCACAAAACTGCACCAAAAGGTAGTTAAACCCTTTCCTCTTTTGTTCTTTCTCACTTTCTTCTTTCCTCACAGTGTCTCCCACTTCTGTGATCACCAACACTCCACCAAACTTGCCTAATACTGGAAGTCAGTGGCCTGAGTGGGACATTGAACCATGCTGAGTTGGGCCTTTCTATGTTACTGACACTGAGCATCAGCCACATGGGTGACTGGCACTGGTCAACACTTGGGGGACTTATTTAGGATTCATATCTTCCCATTCTCAACACCAGGAGTCTAGGTACCAAAAATTTTCCCCAACCCTCCCTGCCCTTTTAGTACCTTTAACTGAACCAGAACCAAAGAAGTAACTTAGGTGACCATTCTATAATGCCCCTGTGTCTCCAAATATCACTGAGCCAGTATTTGTTATTTTTCCTTTAAAGACTTTAAGAGGAAGTGAAGATCCCCCTTTAATCCAGCAGCCAGACTGGGCATGTTTGCAATGCCCCAAGTAAGCAGCAACCCAAGAAAATGTGTTGTGTGAGACCGTCTCACCTTGCAGCTGCCACAGGTCTTTGTGGAAACAGGAAAGGAATGCAAGAAAATTAAATACACTCCCAAGTGGATAATATGCCATTAAATGATGCAGATGTTCAGAAAACATTTAAAAAGCTTATTTGTGGCAACACAAATTTTAAATCAACTGATTTAATGCAATATGTATGTATACCTATACATGTACATGTATGTATATATATATGTATTCCATGAGAGAGAGACAGAGACAAAGAGAAAGAGAGAGAGAGAGAGAGAGAGAGAGAGAGAGAGAGAGAGAGAATGAATATATTTGGTTTCCATAATAACCTGAATGGGAGGAAATCTGTCCTGTTTCCATCTAAAGAAACTTTAGGACTAAGACAATAGGTAATTCAATGCACTAGTGAAAGTTAACACTTGTGCCCCCCATGACACTAACCAACCCTCACCTGTTCCTGAGTCAAACAAGTAGTTTATCCAGATTTGGGCTCCAGAAGTCTATCTTTGAAATTCAGATTGTAGGAAACTAAGATCCCCAAATCCATAAGCAATCTAATTGGGATTTGGCACTCACTCAGCTAGTCCTTCTTCCTTCATCTGTTCCTCCACATGCCCATACATTAAAAATTCTAAGGGTCAAGCACAGTGTCCAGGGAGAGCAGGGATGAAAAAACTCAGAACACATTTCCTTGGGAGCTTGCAGGCCGTCAGGAGAGGTAGGATACACAGCTGTAAAACCAGCTAAGAAGTGGTAAGAATCATGAGGTAAGTACAGCTGACGGGGTAGGTAGCTTGTTAATGAATGGCTCAGACATTTATGCCCAGAAAACGTGCATGTCAAAGTATGACTTTGTAATATGGCCTTACTAAAGTAGATGGTGGATAATTCCCAAATTATCGAATCACTTGACCTATATCATTAAATCTGAGATTATATTAATATAGTCAGCATTTGAGGGCATAACAAATTGGCCTAATGAAGAACTTGATTAAAATGCTATGAAATCAAGGTTTTTCTTCTGATATTGTCCAAAAAAAGTGGTTTGCCCACCATTGTCTGAACCAACTTTGTCAGGTTGGTTGGATAGGAAAGAAAAGGACCACAATCTTGCATGTGGGGGAATTCAATTTCTAACAGCCAAGTCTACTGTGTATTATTCCATTTTATGTTATTGTAATGAAATTATTGAGGTTGGGTACTTTATAAAGAAAAGAGATTTATTTAACTCATAGTATTGTGCTTTGAGGGCATGGCACCAGCATTGGCTATGCTCTGGTGAATACCTCAGGATTGATAACATCACAGAGGTGGGAGCATGAGGGAAAGTGAGAGAGAGAGAGAGACAGAGAGAGAGAGAGAGAGAGAGAGAGATCACATGGTAAGATAAGAAGCCAAATTGTGAAAGTGTGGGAAGAGGGCTGGTTTACCTAATGACTTTGCACTAGCACCCCCTCTGCCTCTCTCAATGCCACATTGCAGATCAAGCCTGCAACATATGAATCCATGGATGACAAACTCCATTCAATTCAAACCATAGCACCCATAAACAAATGATACCAAACAGAAGGCTTAGACCTTCATAAGTCTCTCCATTTGCCATACTTTGTCTTTGCAGAATGTGGTTAAACGGTAGATGTCTTTAGAGCAGTGTCTTAAACTGTTGACCCATGGCTGGAGGTGGCCATGAATAAGATTGAACTATAGCTGGGCTTTCTTTTGCCCATACAGTAATTAAAAAATTTTTTGAATTATTGCTAGTATTTGAAAATAGAAAATTGAACATAGAAAAACTGGAAAATCTGGCCAAGCCTTACCCTTTCCTGCTGGGCCACAATGGGGAGGGTCTGATGGTAGACACACCCCCCACTCCCAAGACAGTGTATACACTGTCCACTGCACCCCTAAGTCCACTAGGCCCAATTCACTCAATCCTGTTGCCTGTCTGGTCTCAGGACAGGACTTGAGTCCTGTCTTAAGATCTGGGAAGACAAAGCCATTAAGCTTTTGGGGCCCACTATTTCCTGGCCCCATAAGTACCATGGTGACAATAGAGTTGGTCTGACATGTCTCCAACCCACTCAGTTCCTGGAGTAAGGAGGTGTGACTACCTTCAAATGAAAGACTGACTACATGGAAAGCTTTATCTAAGATGGTGGTTCTAGACAGACCTGAATCCACAATTGCCATTTTTGAACAAGGGGCCACTTTGGGCCTTCCTACAGGCTTTGCTGCTCCTATAAGCATTTTTTTTTTTTGTAACTTAGCTGCTTTGGCAACAAATGCTCATCTATCAGCATAGTATTCTCTGTAAATCTTGACCCACCAGCCTATGTCATAGGAGTCCTGTATCCATCCTACTCCACTTGTGACTATGTCCATTCAAACATGCAACACTAACGGTTACAACAAAAATTCATGGAGAGCTTTTTGTGAGCTAAGCACTTTCCATATATTAGCCCACTAATTCTCACAGTGATCCTGTGAGGGAGGTCCTCTTGTCTCCATTTTTACAAATATGGAAATCAAAGCTTAGAGAGGTGAGGGGAAGTTCTCACATTCATACATGAAGCAAACAATGGGAGTCGAGGTCTGGCTGCAGATAATTTTAACCACTGGATGAGTGAAAAAGGAGCACTTAAAACCCATACAACATGGGCCAGAAACTCACAGACATTATTTCTGTTATTCCTACATACTCAATACCCATTTAAAAAGTGAAAACTCAAGCAACTTCACAAAAAACCATGTCTAAGTGACAGGTCCAAGTGTTAATGCCCTAACCTGGAGCTAGGTCCTCTGATTCCCTACACCACGTTCCTCCTATGACAACACTACTGCCTCTGCGGGTCTACCTGTTCCTTTTTTAAGGACATAATATGTATTTATGCACAGTTTTCCAGGCAGTTAGTTTTCCAATTGGAAAATAAAACTTTCTCAGTCATAACAAAAGTAAACACAGAGAACCAAGACTGCAACCTGAACATTCTGGTTAAAAATAAGTATTTAGTGGCTTGCAGCCTGAGGGAATATCAGGATGAGATCAATCACCCCTCAAGAACCAGCTGTACTTGAAAGGAGACCCTATTAGGGTAGGCTCATAGAAAAAAAGGAATCTGTAGTTTGGGAGCCAGGTGGGTGGGCAAATAGCCAACCCCAGTGCTCTCTCCAAGTAAAAAAGAGTGCCACAAACCAACTCAGACTGCAGAAATGGGAGGTGATTAAACTCCATTAGCTACTAGGCTGAAAAGAACAATGCTCTCCTATTCTGATCTACCCCAGGCATCACTCACATCCTTCAACTCTTCCCAAATGCTCAGCTGGACTGTAACTTGATCATGATCCTAGGGTCCAGAATAACAAACTAATTATGCATTTATTTGTTAAGGGGTGTGTGTGTGTGTGTGTGTGTGTGTGTGTGTATACTTGCATCAGACTTGCGGGTCTGAGTGTCCTGTCTGTGGATGCGGGTTACTGGGGACAGTTCTCCCTCAATCCACAGTGCCCAGCAATGTCAAGTGCACCTCAGATCACTCTCAGTCTGGAGGATCCCTGAAAGATGGAGGACTTCTGGGAACAGATGCATTCCTACGTTCATTACAAGGCCTGTGATTCTCAAAGTATGTTCAAGAAATTGCTGGTCCCATGAGATATTCCTCTCAAATGGCAAAGGTTTGTGGACAAGCGGGTCTGAGGAATATATTCTATTTCCCTCTTAGAGATTTGCAACGAATATTCAGGCCTCTGAGAATTCCAGCTTGACTTGGTTTAACCCACTGTTTCCCAAGTGAACATGGGAAGGACAGCATGTTTTCCTTTACTTAATCCTCACTTGCATTTTATATAACTAGTGTCTTTAGAAGATTTCTTGAATAACTCCTTACAACACTTGGAAAGGGCATATTCCTCTGGGTAAGCCCTTTCACAGGGAGCAAAAGGGTAAAGAAAACACACATGAACAGGTAGAATTTTTAAAATAACAAAAGGGTGCACAATATTAAAAATATCATTTCCTTTCCACCCCAGATTTCAAATTTTATTCTTCACAGGTAACTAATACTAATACTGTCTATCAACAATATTGCTACAAGTGGTAGCATTTTATGCATAGCATTTTCTGCCTACTCTTCCCTTTGAATAGCTTAGAGTCTTTCCATATCAGCATGTAACATAATTCATTGTGTGAATATACCCCCCATCTTTAATCGATCACCTCTTGATAGATGATTAGGATTTGGGGGAGGTTTTCTTGTAAGAAAGTCTGAACTTTCAGACCTAGTTTTAGATATATGGACTGGTTGTAAGAGGAGAGGGTCTGGTCCTCTGATCCTCTATGGTCTTGACTAGCTATGCTAAGCCTGTATCTTCGCATGATCTGCCAACCTAACAGAATGGAAAAGGAGGAACACATTTTGCTGACACATTTTCTTTCACAGCATTTCCTTTGCTTAGCAGTTTCAGTGAACTGAGCCACCTACCCAAGACATGGAATGAGGTGCCCCATGACATGTATTGAGAAGCCTTGGCTGCTAACTCTTTCTGCAATTTGAGTGGCTCTCCTGGCTGTTCTTTCACTTTCACAAGTCTTCTTTTCCTTCCTCACAGCCCCTTGCTATTGTCGTGTCTTCATCTCAGGGCTGTGGAGTAAAGAGGAGACAACTTCTGCTCTCATTTCCGGCTTCTGCTTTCTTGGCAAGTAACGAGAACATGATGCAATGGATTTTGCCTCTATAGAAAAACCAATCAAACCCACTTCTAGAAAGTAGAAAAAAATAGTAGTTTCCTTTTGACAGTCAATGAAAATTGTGAGTTTCTGGGTCAAAATGAAAACTCAGGAATCATAAGAAGAGTCCTGTTTGCCAGACTCAATTTGTCTCTGGAAGTCTGCAGCCCTTAGATTAATGACTGAGACAGACTTTTTTCCCCACATCCTTTGGAACTGTGAAGCTCCCCAGGCAAGTCTGGCTCTCCCTGTTCACTGTGGATAAGGGAAAGCCCACAGGACTATCTTCCTTTGGCTGCTGCTGACTCAGGTCTAAGGACATGAGTAGGACCAACCTCATGGGGAGAAACACGGGATCTGTTCATCATTCATGGTTGGACACAACACTTTAGGAGAGCTGGTCTTTTGGGAGGATGCTCTTTAACAGGTTTCTGCATCCACCAATCTTCTATTTTTATCTTTTTACTTCATAATAATCTCTTCTGGATTGTTACACACCTGGGGAACCCAGCAGAAGCAAATGCA